GGCGGCTTATGCCTGTAATCCCAGCACTTTGGGAGGCCAAGGTGGGCGAATTACGAGGTCAGGCATTCAAGCCTGGCCAACATGGTGAAACCTCATCTCTACTAAAAATACAAAAAAAAATTAGCCATGTGTGGTGGCGTGTGCCTGTAATCCCAGCTACTCAGGAGGCTGAGGCAGGAGAATCACATGAACCCGTGAGGCAGAGGTTGCAGTGACCTGAGATCATACCACTACACTCCAGTCTGGGCAACAAGAGTGAAACTCCATCTCAAAAAAAAAAAAAGGTCTCGGCTGGGCACAGTGGCTCATGCCTGTAATCCCAGCACGTTGGGAGGCCAAGGCCGGTGGATCATTTAACGTTAGGAGTTGGAGACCAGCCTGGCCAAGATGGTGAAACCTCGTCTCTACTAAAAATACAAAAAAATCAGCTGGGCGTGGTGGCAGGCGCCTGTAATCCCAGCTACTTGGGAGGCTGAAGCAGAATTATTTGAACCCGGGGGGCAGAGGTTGCAGTGAACCAAGATTGCGCCATTGCACTTTAACTTAGGCAACAAGAGTGAAACTCTGTCTCAAAAAAAAGAAAGAAAAAGAAAAAAAAGTCTTAACATAGCGAGAGCTCCATCTCTACCAAAAGCTAAAAAATTAGCCCGATGTGGTGTTGCACACCTGCAGTCCCAGCTGGTTGGGGAGCTGAGATGGGAGGATCACGGGAGTTGGAAGTTTGAAGCTGCAATGAGCTGTGGTCAGTCACTGCATTCCAGCCTGGGTGATAGGGCAAGACCCTGACTCAAAAGAGACAAAAAGGTCTCTAAAATATTTTGAACTAATCTAGTGAGTACTCTACAATAGTTTGCTAAGTTGGTGAATTCCCGGTAAGGTTTAGGGAAACCTCTTAGGTCTGCAAACTAGTGGGGGACTGGGCTAGTCACTTCCTTTCTCTGGCATGCTTTTCCCACTTGTAAGATGGGAGGAGTGAGGTAGCAGGCAGGACAGACTCCCAGTTCTTTTTTTTTCTGAGTCAGAGTCTTGCTCTGTTGCCCAGGCTGGAGTGCAATGGTGCATTTAATTCTTTTAGACAGAGTCTCACTGTATCACAAGGCTGGAGTGCAGTGGCACATTCTTGACACACTGCAACCTTCAACTCCCTGGTTCAAGCAATTCCCTTGCCTCAGCCTTCCAAGTGGCTAGGAATACAGGCACGCGCCACCATGCCCAGCTAATTTTTTGTATTTTTAGTGGAGACATGGTTTCACCATGTTGGCCAGGATGGTCTCAATCTTCTGACCTCATGATCTGCCTGCCTCAGCCTCCCAAAGTGCTGGGATTACAGGTATGAGCCACTGCACCCGGCCTCTTTATTTTTATTTTTTTGAGACAAGGATCTTGCTATGTTGCCTAGGCTGGCCTTGAACTCCTGGGCTCAAGCAGTCCTTCCACTTTGTCTGGCACAACTAAAATTATTTGCAGATGAGTATTTGACATTTTTCTTCTTAATTTTATATTTTATTTATATTTTTTCTATTAAAGTCAACCAGAACAGTGAGACCTTTTTGAACACAAAAATTTAAATTTAGGTTATAGTCTCAGTTGTATGCCAGCCTAGTGCAAATGTTAAGTTTTTGACAGCTTGACTTTCAATCTTCAGATGCTCTATATGTAAGTAAAGACAAAAAAAGAACATTTCACTCTCTGCACAATCCCAAGAGAAACTGACATTTGGAAGAGTCGTTTGTGTGTGTGTGACAGTGTGAAAAGACTCTCACCCCTGCCTCGCCTGAGCAGCATATCCGATTCCAGTCACGTGAAGGAGTAAGCAAGGAAGTTGCTTTGCTCTTGGGTCCCTGCGAGATTGCTGTTGGGTATCAGGACCTATGCTGGGCAAAATCCTACAGGAACATTTATTTGATCCTACTTCTAGAATCAGTTTTTTAGAAATGGAGGCAACCTCAGAACTGGGAGTTAGCCAGGCGCGGTGGCTCACACCTGTAATCCCAGCACTTTGGGAGGCCAAGGTGGCAGATCACCCAAGGTTGAGAGCTCAAGACCAGCCTGGTCAATATGGTGAAACCCCATCTCTACTAAAAATACAAAAAATTAGCGGAGTGTGGTGGTGCGTGCCTGTAATCTCAGCTACTCGGGAGGTGGAGGCAGAAGAATTGCTTGAACCTGGGAGGCAGAGGTTGCAGTGTGTCAAGAATGTGCCACTGCACTCCAGCCTTGTGATACAGTGAGACTCTGTCTAAAAGAATTAAGACTTAGGTATGGTTCATGAAACAACTGTTTCAGATGCTTACTTTGAAACTTGAAAACCAATGCTGTAAGGAAAGGCAATGTTGCTTGATCTGCCAGGATAAGAAGGCTATAGTTCTGATCCTGATCATGAATATTCCTGAAGAGGGGGTAACTTCCCTAGGTCACCTGGGCAGGTGTGGCTGTGAATGGGGTGGGTGAAGGGTGTCAACGACTAAGTCAAATTGGCTCTCAATTCTAGAAGTTAGGAGAAACCAGGGAGCTTACTGTAGAGTGCTTCCTTAAGTGTAAAATGCTTCAGAAGATTGAATAATCATATCGAGAGACTTTTTTTTTTTTTTTTGAGACTGAGTTTCGCTCTTGTTACCCAGGCTGGAGTGCAATGGCGCGATCTCGGCTTGCCGCAACCTCCACCTCCTGGGTTCAGGCAATTCTCCTGCCTCAGCCTCCTGAGTAGCTGGGATTACAGGCACACGCCACCATGCCCAGCTAATTTTTTGTATTTTTAGTAGAGATGGGGTTTCACCATGTTGACCAGGATGTTCTCGATCTCTTGACCTCGTGATCCACTCGTCTCGGCCTCCCAAAGTGCTGGGATTACAGGCGTGAGCCACCACGCCTGGCCGAGACATTTATTCCTATTAGCATCGAAGATACAGGACTTTTGCTTCTGCATGAAGTATAAGGTGCTCTGGGAATTGCTCTCCCACTGTAGTAAACAACTAGAAAAATGGGCATAATATATGAAACATTTTCACACATTGGACAACAGGCAGCACAGGATTTTGATCCCTGCAAGAAGGAAAACAAGATAAATTCTACAGCTGTCCAGTTTTATCCCTGAGGCAGTATCCATGCCACACTCAGGAAGGGGAAACTCACACAGAGTTCATGAGTAGAGGAGAAAGATCCACGCTCAGGGAGGCCAACCAAGCTGGCTAGAACATGTTGAGTCTGGACAGGAGGAAGCTGCAGAGTGAGAGAGCTATGGAGATCGCCTCTTTGTCAAGTACGCATCTCCACACACGTGAAAAGGCCAGGAAAGAAACATTAGAGGTTGGCTGGGCATGGTGGCATGGAGCCCCGCTGCGGCAGCACCTCTGCTCTGCCGGGTCTGTGGGTTTCCTCTTCTCCACTGTGTCCATCGGATATTTGCCTTCCAGACTGAGGGGCTGCTCAACGTGACCCAAATTCTCAAAGAAAAGTTTCCTCGAGCTACAGCTGTCAAAGTCACTGACATTTCAGGAGGCTGTAGGCAATCTATGAATTTAAAATGGAATCAGAAGAATTTAAGAAGAGAACTGTCCAGCAGCACCAGATGGTTATCAGGCACTAAAAGAAGAAATCAAAGGGATGGCATGGACTGGGGATATTTACCTCTGTACCCAAATGTTGACTGTGCCCTGGCAGCACAGATGCTGCTGCGTTTTACCTTTGATGAACTCAACTGACACCATTCTTCCCCAGGCATTCGCTAAAAAATCTACATATTTTGTTCTTATACATTTCCATATTTATAGATGTGTAACCTATTTAAATGTTTGTTTGTTTTTGAGACGGAGTCTTGCTCTGTTGCCCAGGCTGGAGTGCAGTGGCACAATCTCAGCTCACTGCAACCTCGGCCTCCTGGGTTCAAGCCATTCTATTGCCTCAGCCTCGTGAGTAGTTGGGACTACAGGCATGCACCATCATGCCTGGCTAATTTTTGTCTTTTTAGTAGAGATGGAGTTTCACCATTTTGGCCAGGCTGGTCTTGATCTCCTGACCTCAGGTGATTCACCTGACTTGGCCTCCCAAAGTGCTGGGATTACAGGTGTGAGTCACCATGCCTGGCCTATAATGCATCTATTCTAACACCCAGCAACATAGTTGGCAATGAATACATGAGAGAGCTATTAGTGGTTTCCAGATTCTTCTTTTTTCTTTTGAGACAGAGTCTCATTTTGTCATCCAGGTTGGAGTGCAATGGCACGATCTCGGATCACTACAACCTCTGCCTCTTGGGTTCAAGTGATTTTTTGGCCTCAGCCTCCCAGTAACTGGAATTACAGGTGCCCACCATCATGCCTGACTAATTTTTGTATTTTTAGTAGAGATGGGGTTTTGCCATGTTGGCTAGGCTAGCCTTGAACTCCTGACCTCAGGTGATCCACCTGCGTTGCCTCCCTAAGTGTTGGGATTATAGGTGTGAGCCACCAAGCCTGGCCATGAATTCCAGATTTTAATAGGACACCAAAAAACCTTATCAAAAGTTGGAGGTTTTTTTTTTTCTATTGGGGAACAAAAGGCTGTAGAAAAAGCACAATTAGATGCAGAAAGTATACTTTCTCATGTATAATAAGACTCCATTTGCTCTGTAGGCAACGACATTTATTTAGAATCTTTGGAAATATACATACAAACATTCAGCAGTTTTGTTCTTCCTGGCTTACTTCCCCTTCCTGCTAATTCCAATTAGTGGTATCATTACTATACTTAAATGGCCCAAATGATGAGGCCAAATATAAGAGCATTACTTCTTTCACAACTCTCCATCTTCATAGCCTCTCAGCTTGTCAGTAAGTTCTGAGGCAAAAATATCTTTCTGGAAAGGCAACTATTTAGTCATGCAAGCAGAGACAGAACCAACTACGACAAGCACTAGTTCTATCAATTTAGTGCAGTAAGAAGTATAAAGCATCATAATTCCTTCATCAATATCCTTTTACCATGACCCAAAAAGATAACGTAGAAAGAAACACAACAATGTATTATCTCAAAATGTGTATTTAATGGGCATTCTGTCAAAACAAAGCAGAATCCTATTTCAAAACTACCATATGCGTATATATTTTTAAGGTGCATTTTCAAGTTTCATTTGGGTTTCATTTCTTCTTGGCTTGCCTGAGGTGTTCTTGCAGGTACAATTAACACAGAATGTTCTGAGGTGGGAAGCTTTTCATGCAGTGAAAAATGAGATCCTAACAACACTGCACATCTTGGATACATTAGAAATTTTAAAAGCCATGTATAATTTCAGAAAACTTAATACCGTCACGAAAGACATTTTCAACGCAAAATTTAGGCACTCTATACTTTGGAATAGCCATAAAATATTCCAACAAGAGTTAATGCACTTTGTGATTACATCTATTCAAAGATAATTTTCAATTAAAATCTATACTTATTAAATAACATTTTAAATTAGAGCCCATTAAATTTTGATAATTACTGTGAAATATTTGCAGCATTGTGTTGTGGTTAAATAATGCTGAACTACTTCTATTAGTGACTCTAATACTTATCCTTCATGTTAATTTTTTCCCCCAAGACGGAGTCTTGCTCTGTCACCCAGGCCAGGGTGCAGTGATGCGATCTCAGCTCCCGGGTTCAAGTAATTCTGCCCCAACCTCCTGAGTAGCTGGGATGACAGGCGCCTGCCACTGTGGCTGGCTAATTTTTGTAGTTTTAGTAGAGACGGGGTTTTGCCATGTTGGCCAGGCTGGTCACGAACTCCTGACCTCAGGTGACCTGCCTGCCTCAGCCTCCCAAAGTGCTGGGATTACAGGCATGAGCCACTACGCCTGGCTCAGACATGGTACTTTTAAAAACAGCGGACTCTATAGCATCCACCAATAATCATCTCTCCATTTTTCCTGCTAATATATGAATAAGCTTGTCAATAATCAATATAAAGTTATTCTTGTATTTTCTGCTGTAACTGCTTTCTTTGCATGCAAAACTTCAGCAGATGGGAGTCTCCCTGGAGATCAGGAAACATCAGCCATGCATTTTCATCACAGATTCCTAGGCTCAATTCATTTGCTCACTTAACAGCTAAGTATGCTGCTCCATTTAGGTTCCTGCAGTCTGTGCTGCTGGACTGACTGCTATGGAGGCAAAGAAAAAGATAATCAAATGTGTCACCCTACTTTGCACAAGGCCAAGGCCACCAGACCTTGTCTGACTTGAGACAAAAGCTGATCTCTGTAGTGTGGCTCTGGAGTTTCTATCTCCTTTTCTTAAGACCAAGGGGTGGGAATGATGCCTGCCTACTGAGATCCCATTAATTCCAGATGATCTTCTTGGACTTGAATTTAATTTAGCATTGTTAGAATTCAGAACACGGATGCTAGCTGTTCCTGTTGAGCATAAGGTTCATTTGCTCAGTGGTATGCATTTATGTGGCACAGGAAACAATTAGCCTTTTAGAATTTTTTGAAGATTCCAGTCTGTAAATTGACTCATCAAAATCACCAATGACTAGCATATAAAGATCTATGCAGAGAAATGAATTTGAGACTTATTTGACTATAAGTCATACAGAAGAGAGCACAGTAATTTCCCATAGGAGAATTTAGTATTTCATCTTGGGGATAACTGGTAAAATTTTTTTTTTTTTTTTTTTTTTTGAGACGGAGTCTCATTCTGTTGCCAGGCTGGAGTGCAGTGGCATGATCTTGGCTCACTGCAACCTCTGACTCCCAGGTTCAAGTGATTCCCTTGCCTCAGCCTCCCAAGTAGCTGGGACTACAAGTGTGCACCACCATGCCTGGCTAATTTTTTGTATTTTAGTAGAGACAGGGTTTTACCACATTGGCCAGGATGGACTGGATCTCCTGACCTTGTGATCTGCCCACCTTGGCCTCCTAAAGTGCTGGGATTGCAGGCGTAAGCCACTGCTTCCAGCGCTATCGCTGGTAAATTAATTACACTGCTAGTGTTTTCTTGCTTACTTGAAGAGACAATTATCATAAATAAATCATGAATGAGATGACAAGTTGCTTAACATTTGCTTCTGTTCATTGGATGAGATCTGAGGTTGTTAAGCCTTGGTATGAGTACGGGATAGGGAAAGAAGGGTATAAGGAAAGAGAAGTTAACTCCAGTTTTGGCAAATATAATCATAACCAGTTGGTTAAAATCAGAACCATGAAATTAAATGCAAAACAAATCAGAACGCTGAAATTAAATGTAAAAAAAAATGATTTAAGTTTTAGAAATCAACCTCACCAACTGGTGACAAAAACTGGGAAACATTAGGAGATGACTGTTGACTTGGGAAATTCACATGAAACCTAGCCATTTCTCTGAGCAGAGAGGACAAGAAATAGGATTGAAGGTGCATTTAGTTGAGGATGCTTTTCATACCCACTCAGAACTTCATCTGCCTGTGGATATTCTAAACAACATCTATCTTGTGATTAGGCCAAGGCTCACGACAGCACAGTTAAGGTTACAGTCCCTCTCTGGTGTTTTAGAATGGCGACTGCTTGCTCATGAGTGACACCTTCCAGGGTCTCACCATTAACAGCTAAAATCTGATCCCCTCGTTTTAATCGGCCGTCATCTGCAGCTGCTCCCTACAAACAAGAAACATTCCAGTTTAGTCGAGGGTAAAGCAGTTTATATTAAATTAATATTAAAACCTCTAACTTCTGTCTGGTGTGCATGTTAAAAAAGTAACTTTAAAAACTACCAATTAAAGTTTTTTCCAGGTAATGTTTTAAATTAGGAAAAATGTAAGATATGCTGTTTGAATAATAATAGTTGAATAGTAACTATAATTATGAATCACCTAAATAACATACTAGTAGAAATGTACTGATACATTTCTTTTAATACGAGTAGAACCTTATTTCAATATTTTGTATAAAATGGATATGGATGTCATATTCATGGAAAGGTAATGTACAAAAGAAGGCAGATAGAATTGAATCTGGTATTAGTCTTACTGCAAATACCACCATTATACAGAGTTCCCATTGCGTTATTAAGCTATCAGCTGTGATCTGTCAAAAATAAGTGTAGTCTTTAAATGAGTGAATTTTATGGTAAATGAATTATATCTCAACAAAGCTGTTATCTATACATAAATATATATAAGTGTAGCATCTCCAAAATTTTGTAATATCATATTCAAAACCTTCCACTTCATGTTTATCATCTAAATAGTTTCTAAATGACTACTTTTATCACATACTCAGTCATGCATGGCTCCTCAAAAAGGCACAAAGCCAGTGAAACTTTGGGGTTTTTTCACTCTAAAGCTGAGTATCTAAAAATGCACGATATTACTAGAAACATTTTGGACTGTTAAGGGAAGAAAAGACCTAAAAAATGATTTACAGGAGGTTTCACCATCTGTGGGGGGTAACTGTTTAAGTCCCTTGAAGAGTCAGTGCCAGAAGAATCCTCTAAATGAGGTCAAACTTCAGGGGGAACCAAAGCCCACAGGTACCTGGCCTTGACCAACTCAATCAGAAGCCAAGCTAGGAGGCACTAATGCTCCTGAGACGCGTGTCCATGTGCAGCTTGGAAGTCCTGAGGTGCTGGGGAACCAGACTTCCTAAACCATGAGAACGGTGGAATTTCTAAATGAATGTGCAATACAGAATATTCAAAACCTGCTGGGTGTGCTGCCTCACGCCTGTAATCCCAGCACTTTGGAAGTCTCATGTAAGAGGATTGCTTGAGCTCAGGAGTTTGAGATCAGCCTGGGCAACATGGCGAAACTCTGTCTCTACAAAAAATTAGCCGCGTATGGTGGCTTACACCTGTGGTCCCAGCTACTCAGGAGGCTGAGGCAAGAGGATCATTTGAACCTCCAGAAGTTGGAGTGACCTGAGATACAGTCACTGTACTCCAGCCTGGTTGACAAAGTGAGCCCTGTCTCAAAAAAAAAAAAAAAAAAGTATTTGAAATCAGGTCTATACTGTGGGCAAAATATTAAAATTAAGTATTAATAACTTGGAACTGGCTGGGCGTGGGGGCTCACGCCTGTAATCCCAGCACTTTGGGAGGCCGAGGCAGGAGGATCACCTGAGGTCAGGAGTTTGAGACCAGCCTGGCCAACATAGTGAAATCCCATCTCTACTAAAAATACAAAATTAGCCGGGTGTGATGGTGCATGCTTGTAATCTCAGCTACTTGGGGGGCTGAGGCCTGAGAATCACTTGAACCTGGGAGGTGGAGGTTGCAATGAGCTGACATCCTGGCATTGCCACCCAGCCTGGGCAACAAGACTGAAACTTGGCCAGAGGTAGTGGCTTATGCCTGTAATCCCGGCAATTTGGGAGGCTGAGGCGGGCGGATCACCTGAGGTGGGGCGTTCCAGACCAGCCTGACCAACATGGGGAAACCCTTTCTTTACTAAAAATACAAAATTAGCCAGGCATGGTGGCACATGCCACTACTACTCGGGAGGCTGAGGCAGGAGAATAACTTGAACTGGGAGGTGGAGGTTGCAGTGAGCTGAGACCATGCCATTGCACTCCAGCCTGGGCAACAAGAACAAAACTCCCTCTCAAAAAAAAAAAAAAAAAAAACCTACAAAAAACAAACCACCCAAAAGTCTTGCAATTTCACTCAAATCCTTTAAGAAAGTAAGGTGTCAGCTGAGTGAGGTGGCTCATGCTTGTGATCCCAGCACTTTGGAAGGCTGAGGCGGGAGGATCACGAGGCCAGGAGTTCAAGACCAGCCTGGACAACACAGTAAAACCCTGTCTCTTGTAAGATAATAAGCAGGTATTTTAAAACACTGTTTAAAACAGAATGTTAAAACACTGTTGTTTAAGACTGTATTTTTAAATCAGGATACCCCAAATCTCTTCTAACAAGTAGAAAACATGAAATAAAATTAAACTGCTTTCCTTCAAAAAAGAAAAAAAAAGAAACTCCGTCTCAACTAAAAATACAAATATTAGCTGGGTATGGTGCGGGCACCTGTAATCCCAGCTACTTGGAAGGCTGAGGCAGGAGAATCGCTTGAATCCGGGAGGCAGAGGTTGCAGTGAGCCGAGATCACACCACTGCACTCCAGCCTGGGTGACAGAGCTAGACTCCATCTCAGAAAAAAAAAAAAAAAAAAGAAAGTAATATGTCAACTATATTAAAGATAGAATTAAGTAATTTTACTGGATAAAATCAGAAAAAAAAGAAAGTAATATGTCAACTATATTAAAGATAGAATTAAGTAATTTTACTGGATAAAATCAGAATTATTAGGCAAAGTTGATTTTCTTAAATTTTATATGCTAAGATTTGGCTTTAGTAAATCTCAGATATCTGTGTAAATTAGTTTTTTAAAAAATATGTAAAGCTTTTTACGTTCTGTGTTACTTTTTTTAGCCATGCAAAAAGATAATTTTCTTTCTTTTTTTTTTTTTTTTTGAGAAGGAGTTTCACTGCTGTTGCCCAGGCTGGAGTGCAATGCTTGATCTCAGCTCACTTGGCTCACCACAACCTCCACTTGAACCTCCAGGTTCAAGTGATTCTCCTGCCTCAGCCTCCCAAGTAGCTGGGATTACAGGCATGTGTCACCACGCCTGGCTAGTTTTGTATTTTTAGTAGAGATGGGGTTTCTCCATGTTGGTCAGGCTGGTCTGGAGTTCCTGACCTCTGGTGATCCAACTGCCTCGGCCTCCTGAAGTGCTGGGATTACAGGAGTGAGCCACCGTACCTGGCCAAAGGAGCTCTTTGAATGGCAGCTTTGAAGAGGGCATTCTGTGTGACCCACAGTCCATTCTTTATTCCCACTCTTGTCCCACTGAGGGAATGCAGGTGGGTTCTTTTAAGAATTCACCAGCAATGCACAGCCATTTTAGTCCTAGCTGTATGTTCTGGTGCCCTGTCAAAAGGTGACTCAGCCCCTTGGTGCCTGTTATTTTCAGGAAGAAAGCCAAATCTTTTTTCTAGTTCAGAACAATACTTCCAAGGACCACTTCTAAAGAGTGGCACTGCTCCTTATACCATGTTGCTGAAAGAAGATACTCTAAAAATCTGTGAGCATCTGCTTCTACAACAGAGTCCAAAGAAAATTACACTTCTTCGGACTCTGCCATTGTAAAAGAACTCTTCTTTCACTATTCTGCTGTGAGAATTTCCTATAAGATTCAAATGAAATAGGCATACATACACACATCCAGGTTTAATCCATAGTAAAGCAAAGCAAAACACTTTAAAAAAAGATCTCACCTAGGTTTAATTTTTTTTAAAAAGTACATTAAAAAAGAAAATATACCTTTGCAAATATAGTCTTGACATAAATTGGCAGGTCTCCATGGGGACTTCCATAACCCCCTACAATACTAAACCCCAATCCTTCAGAGCCTTTCTCCAAAGTAATAATCTTAGGTGGAGGTGTTCTGAAAACACAATGCATGCTGTTTAATTTGAGAATAGATATTGAGGGAATTTCATTTATTGGAAGAATACAGATTTGAGAGAGACTTTCATACTGCGAAACTATGAAGTTTGGTTTATCAAATCAAACTTTCAGAAAGCAATCTAGAAAGTTACTTTAAAACTTCTCATGTCAAGCCAATTAATCACCAATATTCTTGATGTTTTAGAGGTTTCTCTTTCATAAAACTCAGTGATTTCTAATTAAAGATAAAGTCATGATGCTGAAATTGTCAAGTAACTCTTCTATATGCTTAGTTTTTAACTCTCTTTTTTTTTTTTTTAAGACGGAGCTGGGACTACAGGTGCGCACCACCATGCCTGGTTAATTTATATATTTTTAGTAGAGATGGGGTTCCACCATGTCGGCCAGGCTGGTCTTCAACTCCTGACCTCAAGTGATCTGCCCACCTCGGCCTCCCAAAGTGCTGGGATTACAGGCATGAGCCACCGCACCCGGCCATTTTTTAACTTTTAAACTTACTGTTGACAGCTGAAGGAAGCTGTTGTCACATCGTTGACGCATGCGCATGGAGACAGTGGTAGCATGTCTCCTAGTGTGGTGGGAGACTGTTAGTCTTCATGTGAACTCTTGTCCATAACAGGTAACAGTAGCCCGCAGCTCAGAAAACTGCTGCTCCTTTTCTTTTCTCTTTTTTGTTTTTTGAGATGCAGTCATGCTCGTTGCCAGGCTGGAGTGCAGTGGCGCGATCTTGGCTCACTGCAACCTCCGCCTCCTGGGTTCAAGTGATTCTCCTGCCTCAGCCTCCCGAGTAGCTTGGATTATAGGGTCATACCACCATGCCCAGCTATTTTTGTATTTTTAGCATGAAGTTTCACCATGTTGGCCAGGCTGGTCTTGCACTCCTGACCTCAGGTGATCCACCTTCCTTAGCCTCCCAAAGTGCTGGGATTCCAGGTGTGAGCTGCCATGCCCAGACTGCTGCTCCTTTTCTGCCTGAATGCTCTGGCCACTTCCACCTATGGCAGGAACTCCTTCTCCAAACTCACTTCCAATGTGAGGCTCTCCTGCCTCCCTTGGGAGGATGGGTCCCGCATCTTTTCATGTCCTTTCCCTGCATTCGGTCCAAATTTCCATTTTGGCACTGACTGTGTCATACTGGAATTACTTAGCCATCCATTTCCTCTACCAGACTAGGACCTCTTTGTCTTAGTCATCTGAGCCTTCCCAGCACCATGTATGGTGCTCGTCAGAAACTCAGGATCATGACTGTGTGAATGAGGACTGAAATCCAGGAGAGAAGAGAGAAACCAAGGGGAAGCAAAATGGGGAAAGAAAATCTGTTTCAAATGTAAAATTTAGCTTTTCAAAGCTTCGTCCAGTGTGGAAGTCTTCTCTCTCAGAAACAACATGGCTAAAAATTAAATTACCTATGTGGGCTCCCAGTAATTTAATCTTAATCTAAGTTTAGGTGATGCCAATTTCTTATTCCCAAATGCCATGGCTCAAAAGGCGGAAATGCGACCCTGTCTTATTTGTGACAGGTAGTTCATATTTGTGTACCGGCAGCATCCTTTGTTTTGTGGCAACATGCATGTCTGAGAGGCAAAGTCATCTCACAGAAACTCAGCCATTCATGCACTTGGAGAAATTTGCAAAACAGGGACATAAGCATCTTTAACTATGTTGTTCTAACTAGAATATTCTTCCCTCTCTCCCTCCTCAATTTTGCTGCTTTATTAAAGGGTTTTCAGCTGGTTCACATTGATCAGTTGTTTATTGATGTACTTACTAGTTGTTTACAGCAGACATCCATGGTAATTGCTGACGATCTATGCTATATAAATTGTTAACTGTTTTTTTTGTTTGCTTTATTTTTTAAAGACATGGACTGCCTGATGTTAACCGTTTCTAACTGTTGCATTTGTCTTTACATTTTTAAAAATAAACACAGGGTCTGACCATGTTGCCCAGGCGTTGGCCTCTCAAAGTGCTGGGATTACAGGAGTGAGCCACCACATTTAACTAATTTGATGACCCTGTTTATTCCAATTCTTTTTTTTTTTTCTTTGAGACAGGGTCTTGTTCTGTCTCGTAGGCTGGAGTGCAGTGGTGCAATCACAGCCCACTGCAGCCTCGAACTCCTGGGCTCAAGTGATTCTGCCGCCTCAGCCTCCTGGGTAGTTGGGACTACAAGAATGCACTACTGGCTCTGGTTCTCTTAAGTTAAAGCATTGGCTTCTCCAAGTATGCTCCCTAATTGAGTTATGCCCCACATCCATGGTTTCACAGGACCTTCTCTCAATGAATTTAGCTTTCCTACAATTATCTTTTATAATCATGGATTTAGGGGTCTGTTTTCCACTTCTCTAGCAACTCTTTGGGGACTGGGGCAATAACTTTACTCACATTTCTAAGTTTGAGTCCTCAGGACCTAACACCTTTATCTAAGTGTCTGGCCTTAGAATGGTGCTCAATAAATATCTGTTGAAATAATGATGAGTTGTCCTCTATGGTTGAATGATAATGATGTCATGAATAAGGCTCTACTTTTCCCCACTTTGTGGCCTTACAAGCACTCTCAGTAACAGGTCACTGGCTGGATACAAATTCGATTCATGCTGCTTCTTTCAAACACAGCCCCCATTTCCAAAGATATTAGAATGGGAACCTAGATGCCCAAAGCTGTTGCTTTAGAGCTAGTTCCTGGGGCCACCAAATCATTAGACACCCTTATAATTGTGCCTATTTATACTCAAGGATGTGTTTTCAGGGAAAGAGGAAGGAGTGTGGCTCTACTCCTCAACTGGCAACATCAGATGGAGTTTGCCTCCATTGATCTCACAATATCAAAACACTTTCAACCAATTAGTTTAAATTTGCTTTCATATAGAAGACTAGTTAACAAAAAAATCCCAGTGTTAGCAGTGGTGAGATTATGAGTAATTTTTAAATTCCTTTAAGCTTGTGGTTCACAACGTGCCAGAGACCATGAAATTATAGCAAAGGAATCAAGATTAAAAGGGATCTCTGTATTTCCACAGTCACATCAAAAGATGCTAAAGGTATACTATTCTTCCTATAAAGGTCCTGATTTTTTTTTTAAGGGCCACTGTAATTTGGAAAATGTTATATTTCTATATTCTGTCATATTTTCATGGCATGCATGTATTACTTTTATCATGAGAAAAAGGTAGAATGAGTTTAATTTAATATTCTTTCCTCAAGAAAAATAAACTCAAAGATGTCATTTAGGTTGTTAATTACCAGGAAAAAGTTGGGAAAGGCTATGACCATGATATCCTTCAAATGAACCATCCGGATCTCAACAAACATTTCTTTATTTTTATTTTATTTATTTATTTATTTATTTTGAGATGGAGTCTCGCTCTGTCACCCAGGCTGGACTGCAGTGGCACAGTCTTGGCTCACTGAGACTACTGCCTCCTGGGTTCAAGAGATTCTCCTGCCTCAGCTTCCCAAGTAGCTGGGACTACAGGTGCGCCACCATGACCGGCTAATTTTTGTATTTTTAGTAGAGACGGGGTTTCACCATATTGGTCAGGCTGGTCTTAAATGCCTGACCTCGTGATCCACCTGCCTTGGTCTCCCAAAGTGCTGGGATTATAGGCGTGAGCCACTCTGCCCAGTCCAACCAACATTTATTGAGCACCTACTAGTGACCAGGCACTGCTGGTACTGAGAGAAATAGCTTTAGGCAACATTTCTCAAAGTGTAGATCCTCTGCCCATCTGTAACAGAATCACTCTGGGAAACTTTTTAACATCAGGTTTCTGTAATCCACCATAGAGCATCTAATTAGAATCTTGCAATGTGACCTTGCAATGGGGAATAAGCATCTTTAAACATGCTCACTAGATTACTCTTTTTTTTTTTTGAGATGGAGTTTTGTTCTTGTGGCCCAGGCTGGAGTGCAGTGGCGTGATCTTGGCTCACTGCAACCTCCGCCTCCCAGGTTCAAGCAATTCTCCTGCCTCCGCCTCCTGAGTAGCTGGGATTATAGGTGCCCACTACCATACCTGGCTAACTTTTTGTACTTTTAGGAGAGATGAGGTTTCATCATGTTGGCCAAGCTGTTCTCAAACTCCTGACCTCAGGTGATCCACCCACCTCCACCTCCCAAAATGCAGGGATTACAGGCGTGAGCCATCGCACCCAGGCCTTAGATTACTCTTATGCACATTCTAGTTTGAGAAACCCTGATTTAATGAACTTTAACTGCAATGACTGGTTTTAATGAGACATGTCAGCAAGTATAACAACAAGATTTTATCTCAGAACAAGATTTTAGTCTAGAAGTTCAAGAAACATGGGTCCTTGCACGATACAGCAGGGTGCACGTGGGCTATACATCTGTGGTTTCTTAGGGAAGAAGGCATAGACACCGTGTCAAAGTGACCAGGTGCAGTGTATGTGGAGGCCCTGAAACCACAGTCTTTTAAGAACTCATCTAGTGGAATTAAGTCTTGTGAGGAATAAGGAAACCCTGGTGCCTTCTTGGAGATTCTCTAGACTTTAGAAAGTCGTGAGCAATTGGCCTCCTCTCCCTTAGAGTGCAATTGAGTATCTGGAAAAGTCCTTCTGAGCTTTGCCCACATGCATACTAGGCCACCTTCTTCTGAAATACTCACTCTGTGTGTTCTGAATGGTGTTCAGCAGTGGGTGAACCAAGGTGGTAGCTTGTAGACATGTTTTCAAGCTGAGCTGCTATGGCACTTATATTGGTATCTGCTACAACCTGGTGAAAAAGTAAAAACAAAGAATTTCATTATAAGGAAAGGGAGAATTAGAGAAAGCATGCTATATCCAATGGTCAGTTCTCAGTCCTAATCTTATTCAACTTCTCTGGACCATTTGACATAATGGACTATGAACTATTTTTTCTTTCAAACCTTTTTTTTCTTTTTTATTTAAGACAGGGTCTTACTCTGTTGCTCAGGCTGGAGTGCGGTGACATGATCTCAGCTCACTGAAGCCTTGACCTCCCAGGCTCAAGTGATCCTCCCACCTCACCAGGCCTAGCTAATTGTTTGTTTGTTTGTTTTGAGACAGAGTTTTGCTCTTGTCACCCAGGTTGGAGTACAATGGCACAATCTTGGATCACTGCAACTTCTACCTCCCAGGTTCAAGCGATTCTCATGCCTCAGGTTGCTGAGTAGCTGGGATTACAGGCACCCACTACCATGCCTGGCTAATTTTTTTTTTTTTTTTTTAGATGGAATCTCACTCTGTCCCCAGGCTGGAGTGCAGTGGCGTGATCTCAGCTCACTGCAACCTCCGCCTCCTGGGTTCAAATGATTCTCCTGCCTCAGCCTCCCTAGTAGCTGGGATTACTGGCGTGTGCCACCACACCCAGCTAATTCTTGTATTTTTAGAAGAGACAGAGTTTCACCATGTTGGCCAGGATAGTCTTGATATCTTGACCTTGTGATCCGCCTGCCTTTGTGTCCCAAAGTTCTAGGATTACGGGCATGAGCCCTGGATAACTTCTTTGTATTTGTAGAGATGGAGTTTTTGCCATGTTGTTCAGGCTGATCTCCAACGTCTGGGCTCAAGTGATCCACCTGCCTCAGTATCCCAAAGTGCTGGGATTATAGGCATGTGCCTAAAAGTCTGCCTTGCCTCCTTATCCTGAAGTTGTCTTCCACCTCGACTAGTTACCAGATACTTTGTCAAGAACTCCTTGGTTACCCCTGTTTTGAGGTTATAATTCTCATTGCACAAATACAGAGGGAACTTTGCCTGCGAGCAATTCAAAGCTCGATTTGATTGCAGTTTCAGAATAGGTCAATAGAGGGCGCGGCTGCCTAAACTGCTAAATTAAGCTGCATCTGTTAAACTAAGCAGAGTAGAAAAAGAAAGGCAACAGGCCTGCCCCAGAACACATTTTCGGGGAAGCATCCTATTTTGGGGAAAACACTGCTATGTCCAAGTTACAGAATCTTCTGGAAATACCACTATATGGATATGGAGAATGACTGAATGAATTGGGAAATATTTAGGATAAAAGATTAAAGAAGAAAATAATAGATTTCTCCCTGCCCCCAAAAGCCTCTCCTCTTAACACAAGCTTTCTGCTTTCCTCCACAGCAAGTGTACTGGATGGGTTAACTTGTCCATGAACTCCTTCATCCTCCCTACTCTTAGAATCCACCATCTTTAGAAACTTACCCCACTCCAGCTTCCATCCCCATCTCCTACCCAAACTTCCATGACCTACACTCTCCTGGCTTTTTTTCTGCGGGGGGTCTGTTTCTCCATCTCTTTGCTCTTCTGCCATTCATCTCTCATGGCTCAGTCCTGGGCCCATTGTCCACTTGCACACTCAGGCTCAAGTGACAGCATGTACATTCCCACAGCTTTACAGTCCAACAATGTGCTCACTATCCCAGCTTAGGCCAGGCATGGTGGCTCATGCCTGTAATGCCAGCACTTTGGGAGGCCGAGGTGAGTGGATCACCTGAGGTCAGAAGTTCAAGACCAGTCTGACCAACATGGTGAAACCTGGTCTCTACTAAAAATACAAAAATAGGCCGAGTGTGGTGGCTCATGCCTATAATCCCAGCACTTTGGGAGGCTAGGCGGGTGGATCACGAGGTCAGGAGTTCAAGATCAGCCTGGTCAACATAGTGAAATTCCGTCTCTACTAAATATACAAAAAATTAGCCAGGTGTGTGGCACGTGCCTGTAAAATCCCAGCTACTTGGGAGGCTGAGGCAAGAGAATCGCTTGAACCCAGGAGGCAGAGGTTGTGGGAGCTGAGATTGCTCCACTGCACTACAGCCTGGATGACAGTGCAAGACTCCAGCTCAAAAACAAGCAAACAAATAACCCCCCCCCTCCAAAAATTATCTGGGTGTGGTGGTGGTGGGGCCTGTAATCCCAGCTACTCAGGAGGCTGAGGCAGGAGAATTGCTTGAACCCAGGAGGCAGAGGTTGCAGTGAGCCCAGATTGCACCATTGCACTCCAGCCTGGGGTGAAGACAGCGAGACTCTGTCTAAAAAAAAAAAAAAAAATCAATCCAGCTTAGTCTGTGATATCCAATTGCCAACCTGACAACTGCATTTTAGTATCTCAAAGATGTATCAAAATTAACACAAAACTCAAACTTTTGATCCAACAATTCATCTCCTTCAGTTCACTTTTCCAGTTTTCCTCATTTTAGTTAATGGCACCTCCAGCTGCCCACTTAGAAATCTACTAGGTGAAATAATGAAAATACTAGTGCACTAGCTGGTACCTATCTAACTGGAAAGCATGCTAGGATGCCAGCCACATAGCTGATCGCTCTGAAGATCTGATACTTCCACTCCTGCTTGGTGTATGTAATCCATCAAGTCCCCTGGATTCTACCTCCAAAATCCTTCTCAAAATTGTTTACTAGCCGGGCGTGGTGGCTCACGCCTGTAATCCCAGTACTTTGGGAGGCTGAGGTGGGCGGATCACTTGAGGTCAGGAGTTTGAGACCAGCCTGACCAATATGGTGAAACCCCATCTTTAAAAAATAAAAATAAACTGTTTACTTTCCATCTACAAGTGACCATCCTAATTCAGTCCATCATCCAGTGCCTGTTAGCTGGAATCTCTATTCATCCTTGTCTCACCTCCCTCCTATCCAGTAGCCAGTTACCTTTGCTTTTCTTCTTCTTTTTTTTTTCAGACAGAGTCTTGCTCTGTCACCAGGCTGGAGTACAGTGGTGCAATCTTGGCTCACTGCAACCTCCGCCTCCTGGATTCAAGCAATTCTCCTGCCTCAGCCTCCCGAGTAGCTGGGACTATAGGTGCACGCCACTGCGCCCAGCTGATTTTTGTATTTTTTAGTAGAGATGGGGTTTCATCATGTTGGCTAGGATGGTCTTGATCTCTTGACCTCGTAATCCGCCTGCCTCGGCCTCCCAAAGTGCTGGGATTACAGGCGTGAGCCACCGCGCCTGGCTGACCTTTTCAAATATAAAATGTGTATCAGCACTCCCCTGCTTAAAACCTTGCAGTGGTTTCCCTTTGGACTTGGAATAAATTCAGACTCTCTAATTATACAAATGAAGTTCCCTCCATAGCCTGCTCTTCTAATCCCGACTCTCTCTCTCCACCCTACATTCCACAGTTCTCTTTGCAGGCAGGGAATTCCCCTCATCTCCCCCAAATCAGTGTGCCTGGCATTGGCTTAAATGTCGATTCCCTTCTACAAGTCTGCTTCCACCATCCGTGTTTAATTTCTCCTGTTTTCCTTTCCATAGCACTCTCCAAGTATTTTTCACAAATTACGGTGATCAGTATCTAGGAGCATGTTAACTGTCTTTCCACCCAATCACAGGATCCGTGAGGGGCTGGACTGCTTCTCCTGGGCACAATGCTAATGTGTCTAGCACATAAACATTTCTTAATAATATTTGTGGAGAGAATGAACGAATCTAAAACTGTCATAAGGAATAGGGATTATGGGACTCAATTTTCTGCATTTCTACAGAGCAGAGTGAGACTGATGGAGGTTACAAGGGGATAGGTTTTGGGTTCTTTTATTTATTTATTTATTTATTTATTTATTTATTTATTTATTTATTTATTTATGGCACAGAAGCAGAGACAGTCATCCGAACCCCAGATTCCAGGCCTGTTTTTTTATTTTTGAGACAGCATTTTGCTCTTGCTGCCCAGGCTGGAGTGCAGTGGCGCGATCTTGGCTCACTGCAACCTCTGCTTTCCAGGTTCAAGCAATTCTCCTGCCTCAGCCTCCTGAGGCACCACCATGCCTGGCTAATTTTTTGTATTTTTAGTAGGGACAGGGTTTCATCATGTTAACCAGGCTGTTCTTGAACTCCTAACCTCAGGTGATCCACCTGCCTCGGCCTCCCAAAGTGCAGGGATTACAGGCATGAGCCACTGCGCCTGGCCAGGTTTTGGGTTCTTAAGGGAGAAAAAAAAAAAGCAACAATGAAGGCAGTTACAGAATGGAAAGCCACAGTTGCCAGGACATGAGCACCTCAGCAAAGCAAGCATCTAGATAGATGCTCGAAATTAATCAGTTCAGGATGTAGTGGAGGGGAGTCCTATGCTCTGTGGGAAATTACACGTGTACTGTCAACTGACCATGAAACAGACTGTCCATATAGGGCTGAGGAAGAAAGTCACTAAAATAGTGTCTTTTCTTTCCTTTCCATTTATTTATTTATTTATTTAAATAATTCAGTCTCTGTAGAGACTGTCAAAAATTGCCAATGCTGAGTATATTTCAAGTCGTTGTGGTGGGGTATTGGGAAAAGTTTTCAATTAGCAATAATAGCGCCTTGGATAAACCTCATTGGCTATGATACCGCCACTGTGCAAAGCTGAAATAGTGTTTCTTCTAAGGTATCTTCAAATGCGGAGATGTGATGGCAGCCTGCTCCTTCCTTTACTCGCTCATTTGATCAACATAATGCAGCACCACCATAGCTGAATATAAAATGAACACTCATTTTATTTCATTTTTATTTATTTATTTTTGAGACAGTCTCACTCTGTTGCCCAGGCTGGAGTGCAGTGGCATAATCTCAGCTCACTGTAACCTCCACCTCCTGGGTTTAAGCAAATTCTTGTGCCTCAGCCTCCCGAGTAGCTGGGATTACAGGTGCATGCTACCTTGCCTGGCTAATTTTTGTATTTTTAGTACAGATGGGGTTTTACCATGTTGCCCAGGCTGATCTTAAACTCCTGGCCTCAAGTGATCCACCATCTCGGCCTCCAAAGGTGCTGGGATT